TGATTGTTGCCGTCGAGCCGGTAGTCCATCGCCTCGTAGAGCTGTAATTGCCGCACAAACCCCGGGTTTGGGTTGATTACGCCCCGCCGCGAGCCGACCAACGCCCGGGCCGTCTCGTACGGCATCCGCATGTTTCGCATGATATACGAGATGACAGTAGTGGCCGATCGGGATATGCCGGCCGCGCAGTGCACGTATACGCCGGCGTCAGGACTCGCGGCCAACCCGTTCTCGATTATATCGTAAGCCAGCGGGAAGTGTGACAATAGGTTTTGATACTCGTCGTCGTAGGCGGGGATCCAGTGGTAGGCAATGCCCGGGAATCGGTGTTCAGTGGGTATAGGGGTGTCCATTACGGTGAGTATTGTACCGATGTTGCCCTCCCGGAGCGCCGACTCGACTGTTGCGGCCAAATAGCCGCCCAAATGCAGTCCACCCGTTATGCGATGCATTGCGTTATAATCGGTGCAATGGTTTCGTTGATTACTTCATTGCATTTATTGTAAAAATTAATATTAATTTTAACATTAATTTAGTTTATTAGAAATTAATTGCAAAATAATTTCAAAAATATAATTCTTACTGTAATTGTCTGTTAGATGTTTGTGTCCATCGCGAATACATTTTGTAATAATTTAATTTAATTATAATTAAAATTAAATTTATGATAATTTAAAGCAACACGTGTTATAAAGTGTATTTATAACACGTTTAGTTTAGTATAGTGTACTCTATCATAATGAAATACTCAATACAATAAGATTATGGTAATATGACCGTGAAATAATTTTTACGTTTTTATACACTCTATGAATTTAAACTCAAGTCCAGGTATTGTTAATTAATACAGTGCAACTTCTCTTGGGTGAACTTCTCTTGGATGAACACCTCCTTTGAATGAACGGTTTTAAAATATATTTTGGATTTTCTATACCTATGATAGAACCTCCTTTGGATGAACCCTCCCTATAATAAACACTTTTGTCGTGCAACTGGCCGTTCATTATAGAGAAGTTGGACTGTAGTTATAAATATTTTAAACTGTTAATTATAGTGTACGTACACTAAACGACCCAACTCATAATGAATAAGCTAATGTATGCATACAAGCACATTGTTTTTGTGTGTCTATTATAGTTGGCATTAAATTAGCATTAATTTCAATGATTTTGTTGTACACAACACTCGGGTCGCACAAAATGACCCCCAATTATCATATCATTGGTGGCCAACTCTATGTATAATTTTGGCACTAATTTTTGAATAAATCATGCTCAAGCCTAATGACTAAAAGCGAGTGTGGTGAATTAATTATCAAGTGAATAGTTTATATTTAAATAATTTTATTTAAATTAAATCTAATTTTTGTTTGTTTTTAACTCTATGGATGTCTGTGTGCGGGATATCTGTCTCTGTGTTTGACAATTGTCTGCCGACTATACCTGTTATCCAGTGATTAATTTAAGGCATATTTATGTGTATATATTTTGTGTCATAAATATGTATGCGTTTTGAACGTATAAATAGTGTAATAACTTATCATTATTATAAATCATCGCCTTATTTGTGAACAATTATGCAATGGTTTGCTTGTTTGTGGTCTTAGACACCGGCATAAATCAACGACCTGTGCGGTGGTGTGGGTGCCCTTCCGGTGCCCATTCCCTCAGACATTACGGTATGGCTTTTGGGGTAAGTTTTTATGAGTTTTTAAATCAAATTTTTGCAATTATTTCTATAAATAACTGTTTTTCTATAAGAGTTGAATACGAGTTGAAAACTAATTAAATAAATCACAATAAAATCCTTTTCGTAGATAATTGCGAAAAAGCAAAACAAAAAACTTTATAAAACTTTTTTGTGTTCAATTCATTGCGAAAACATTGTATTGATTGTATAAATGGGAACAGAAATGTGTTGAATAAATACCCTTTATTTACATCATGTTGTTATCAAAACATATATACAGGTATTTTTATAAATGTATTGATTAGTTTGGTTGACCCGTTAAATATTGGGCCCACTCTTCACATACTGTCCCGAAAATACATATATTTTTAACAATTATTATGTGTTTTGATAATTATTATGATTATTATTTTCAATGTCATTATATTATTAGATATACAGGTATTTTAACCCGATTTTTCTGATCCCCCCATTATGTTATGCACACAAGTAATTTAATATTGGGTTTTCATGTATTAATTTTATGTTAGATTTTTATTAATGTTAGTTTTGAATGAATTTTTGTGGCCATCAATACATCCCTGGCCTTCAATACGGTTTGATGGACTGACAGACAGACAGACTGAATACCAGTTGTATTTTACATTAATGAATGTATATATCATTTATATTTAGTAGTTTTGTTTGTTATTTGTTTGGGTCCTGTCTTTACATAACATCATAACATATAATATAAATCAATAGTAATTTTATTTA